ATCCACATGCGGATCTTTGGCTCCTTGAGTGTGGCTCTTCCTAAGCCTTAGGAGTACCCTAATTAAGTTAATAACAATGTACCTGCCTATATAGTTTAAGTTTAAAAATTTGGCTCTCAAAAGAAATTTCAATCGTTGTACTGCTGATATTGGGCTCTGTTGACTAATGAGTTTGCCGACCACTGGCCTAGTTCAAAGGTCAGCACGCAGCCACTGAGCCACGCCAGCCGGGCTGATTCTTTTGTTCTCCTTTCCTCAGGCTGCTTCTGTACTTGACGTCAGATATGCATCTGCCTCCTGAGAAACGCAGGCAGCTTCCGCACATGGTACGGGCGTCTGTGTTCCCGGACATCAGGTATGACAAGGCTTCACCTAGCCATCTGCTCACATCTGTGGACAAGCAGCTATTACCAAAAACAGCAACACTTCCGGTCCTGTGCTACATCTGCCTTAATTCTTTGCTCGTTTCTCCATGTTGACGCCACTTCCCAGAGAGCTCCGTGCATCTCGTGCAGACTACGTGCTGGGATCTCGGGGCTGCACGGCGCCCTGGCCCTGGGGCCGCTTCCCCAGGCAGAGCTCCGGGCCCCCATGGCAGCTCTCCCCATCCGTCCACAGCTTCCGAGCAGGTGGCCGACTGGAAGGCGCGCCTCTTCCTGCATGGCCTGGATCGCTCTGTGCATCATGTCGTTCTCAGCAACTGGACCTGTTGGCCTTCTGGGGGGTCTCCGGTTCCGTTCGGAGGCTCCCACCTGAGATCATGTTTCTGGATGTCACCGTGTGTGCAGACTGCACTGTCCCCTTCATCGTGCCAAACGCCCCGATTCGATCCTGTTCCCCGGAGCAGGTGCAATGATGGCTGATGAATCTAGTTGGCGTTGTTGACCTCTCCTCCTGCCTTCCCGGCTGGTAGAAAGCTGGTTCGCAGCAGCTCTCTTTGAACACGTAGCTTAAAAGGAACGTGGGCTCCATCCTCTGCCTTCAGCTCTCAGCATCGCAGCCCCAGGATGGGTGCCGCCCTCTTTTCCCGGCTCCCCCCAACCAACTCCAGGAGATTTGGTCCGTGCCCTGCACTGGTGCTTGTACACTTGGACTTGGTGCCTTCTCCTCGGGCCGCGCATTCTCAGTCCCGTTTCTGCTTCAGTGTCGTAGCTCTTTCACGTCCATTGCTTGCCAAAGATGACACCACCGGATGTGAGAGCCGCCGCCGGCCTGCAGGGGCAGGCTTCGATGGCAGGCAGTCCACACGGGAACAGTAGCCGGGAGGGTTTCTAAAAGTGCACGTTGCTCCCCTCCTCCTGGGCAGCCTGGCTTCTCCCTGTCACTCCACACCCCTTGGTCCTCCGGCCCCCATGAGGCCACACGGCCCCGCCCTCTCCCACAGCACAGCACAGAGCGAGGCGGGAGCAGGTGGCTGGTGCTGATGAGCCCATGGCGAGAGCACACAGCCCGCAGTGGGTGCACTGCCCCTGGTTGGCCTGGGAGCGAGTGAAACTTGTAATGAGCGTCCTGAGGCTCCCAGCGTCGCTGCTGCCCTGCCGACCGGAGCTGCTGCGGGCTGTGGGGAGCCCGGCGGCCGAGCCGCTGCAGGGGCTTCCTGTGGCCGTCCTCCCGCCATGTGAACACTTTCCTGCTTTCAATACCAAAAAAGAGAAGTGCGAGGCTTTAAGGCGCGGAAGCAATTCTTAAGAATTTGAAATATGCAATTAAAATTGGATGTGTTTTGACGCAAGCACCTTGCCTTTTTTAAGTCAGCTGATTTTAGGAAGAGGGTCAGCTAGAATCATAGCTTGTTTGGAATTGGACCTTTTGTTTAAAGGAACCTGGACAATGGTTGTTCGGAAAGGGCAGTAAGATGGGACTTTCTGAGCTCACCGCCTCTGTCCCTGCACTGGGAATCCGCGCAGGTGAGGGCAGTCGGGAGGCAGAGGGCAGTCCAGCCACGGTCCTGCCTGGGCAGGGAGCGAGATAACACTAGGAACCACCCACGCTTGGTTTTCTCCGCATCGCAATCCTGCTGTGTCATTGCAAGCGCAGGGGACCATGGGGAGGGGTCATACTTTTGCACATTGCAGTGAGGGACACAGCCTGGGCAGGGGCTTTAGGCTCCTTGCTGCTTCTCATGGTGTTCCTCCTCCCTGACCTCCCTCCTCCCGGCCTCCCTCCTCCCCGACCTCCCTCCTCCCCAGCCTCCCTCCTCCCGGCCTCCCTCCTCCTCGGCCTCCCTCCTCCCTGATTTCCCTCCTCCCGGCCTCCCTCCTCCCCGGCCTCCCTCTTCCCCAGCCTCCCTCCTCCCAGCCTCCTTCCTCCCGACCTCCTTCCTCCCGGAGACAGCAGGGGCCTCCTGCAGGGGCTCTCCCTCTGCCGGCAGGTTGTCCTCCCCTTGGCCCAGGCTGTGTTCCTTGGGAACTGGTCCCTGACCGCAGGGAGCTCGGTGCCCGTCCTGCAGCGAGGCAGGGCCAGGTCTCAGCCTGCTCAGCACCACGTGCTCTTTGGTCTTCACCGGCTTCGGCACCACCGCACTGGTCTTCCTGCCGGCACCACAGCTGACACGGGCTCTGTCTCAGAGGAAAAGGGGCCGTGCTTTCCACTGGCCAGAAGGAAGAGACGCCGTCTTGGCCTGGCTGCTCCCGCCCGTGTCGCCCCTAAGAGAGCACCGTGTGCTCCGCTGTTCTTACACTGTCTTTGCAATGATGTAAATGCAAAAAGCCACCTGGCTGACAGCGAGTGACTGGTCTTACCGATGTGAAGGCCTTTTAAACATATCAAGACTCCGGTGCATCACAGGTGTGCGTGGGGTGGGAGGCCAGGGGCTGTGTTCCCTCAGCTTTGTCTTAAAGAGTATCAATGTGAATGTCATAATTATATCTATTTTTGTGGAAGATTTCTCCTAAGTATAAGTTATTGTGCAAAATATAGTACCATTGAAACAAATGATAGTTTTAGTTTAGAAATCCTAAAAGATATAAATTGTATTACATATGCATTAAAAGTTTGTTTTATTTAATTTTATGTAGCTGTGTAAAGTGTTAGGTAAAGTTTTTCTCACTTCTCCATTGAAACACCTTGTTACTTGAATGTCGTGCTGGCTGGTTTGAAACAGTGATCAGTTCTGTAATGCAGTTCTTACCCAGGAAGCCGCCGCCTCTGGGACTGGTGAGCGCGGCCAGGAGCCGAGGTCGGGCGGCACCGCTGAGCGGGCTCGCTGTGTGTGCCACCCCGACGCCAGTCCCGTGAAATGCTTTGATAGTTTTTAACCTGTAAGACCCTTTGATGCTCACAGACCTCTGATCAGAACGTGAGCATGAGAACACAGTTGGTTTACAGCTTGACTCTGCAGGACAAAGTAAGCAGTTTCCTGCGTGTGTAAAGTTTCCTCACATGTCACGCGCCTGTGAGTGTGCTCGTTGTCACTTTACATTCCTACTCCCCCTGTTTTCGTCTTTCTGAATATCACATGTACTGTCGGTATAACCGTGCACCAAAAATAAGCCGCCAGTGCGTCCCACTGGCCGGACCTGCCGGGGCACAGGCGGTGGAGCTGCCTTCCTCTAGCCCCTTGCTGAACCCTAGGACCCAGGATTCAAGCTTTTGTTCTGTTTTTCTGCATTATTTTATTTATATTCATATCTGAATCCCAAATTTATAAAACAGCTCTACACCTGTATTCCACAACTAAACATGACACTTCCTTAAGTTATTACCGTCACGCCATCGATGAGTTCGTTTTCAAGCCACGAACCATGTGCCAGAGGGTCTTTCCTCTGCTTTGCAGGTAACGGCATTGCCACCAACTGTGTTCTTCGTGGTTTGGCCCTTTGGCCAAAAAGGCGTATAGGTCTTGTTTCAGGTTCATTGTAGGATGACGGAGAGCAGCGATTTCAGTGGTGGCTCCCCGTCTGCCTCGGGAGTCCTGAAGGCTTCTTGTCCTTTTCCGGCTCCATATGGAGCGTAGCACCGCCCTCGGCCCAAGCGGAGCGACCCGCCCAGAGCAGAGAGCGCCCTTGGCTGCTTCGCTAGCTTCCCTCCCACCAGCCAGACCGTCCCGCTGGGCTCTGCTCCGCTCGGGCCCTTGTTTCCCGAATGAGAAGGGGCTGGGGCTCCTTCCTCGGTGGCGGAGCCTCATTGGACCCCATCAACCGCTCGTGCACCCTTCACACGGACTTGGTTTTTATCGTCAGGAGCCGAAAGGTTGGTCTTTGAAACACCTAATAGTTCCCTTATCTTACCCAAAAAATTTCAAAATATGCAACAATATAAAATTCCAGTTTTTCATCCCTGGAATAAATGTAATTACAGATGCCTCACACTGTTCTGGGAATAATTCCCACGCCTCTGGACCATGACGTTTTCCCTCCGCTGTTGTCTTCCCAGAGGATGTCTGTCCACGCAAACACGGTTCCCTCGTCCCCCTCCAGGACACGCTTCACCGCCCTCCGCGCAGCCCGCTCTGGAGACGCGCTGGACTGGGAGGCCCGGGCCAGTGCACACGGCTGGGCGCCATCAGGACCGCGTCTTCTGACACTTGTGGGTGTACGCGCTCAGTCCTGGAGGAAGCAAGTGGTGGCAGCGGGTCTAGGGCCTCGAGGCTGAGTGATCCGCGCTGGCTCCCCCGCACCGGCCTGGGCAGACTGCAGGGCCCGGGGTTCTGGAGGTTGGGAAGGTGGTTCCCTCCTTCCTCAGGGAGGGCAGAGCCCCCACTTCTTCCCACCCCATCTGCTTGGCGGCTGCCCCACCCCTACCCTCACCCCCAGGCACTCCTAAAGCCCAGACTCCAGCTTTTAATCATGTGCAGCTTTGCCTCATGTGAGGCCCAGCAGCGGGCACCCCTGCGCCCGCGCCCGCCTTTCCTCACCAGACGAAG